ATGCATGTCAAGCTGATGGAGGTGCAATAAGATGTCAGATTTAGTAATCTTCTGGGAACCATAAAGACCAAACATTTCAGTACAATACTTTAATGTGCACTAAAGCAATGGATGAAACTAGACCACAATAGAGACACATCAACAGGATGGATAAAAATGCATGTGCGCATGATAAACATTTGAAAACCTACTGATCAAAACTCTAATAAGAAACAGCCTACATATGTGAAGCATCAACAGCTTATCCTGAGAATTATTTCAAAGCCAGCGGACATTCGTCAAACATTGGTTAAGAAGACATTACAACAAGGCTTTTCTAGCAGTGCACAGGTTGATAAATGCTTTGCTGAAGCAAGAAACCCAAAACAACGAGATCTGGAGGTAAGATCTGCGTCAAAGCGTTATCGTCTCACTCAACTGATGTCTTGAATATGCCACTGCTGCAAAACACAAGCAGTCTTCCCACATAAGGGACAATCAAAACATCCTCATAGAGCCCTAAAACTCTGCAACAGCCTTCCCGACATGCCTAGGCAGAGTGTGCTGAGCTGTTGCCAGAGACACTATCAGTGCGCTGCGAGCTTCAAGAGTGAGGGGAGGAGAGCAGAGCAGGCGATGGCACACGTGGAGGAATTCAAAGTCTTCCTGATAAGACGACATGAAAGTGCCCCAGGTCCTGCTTTTTTAACCTAAATGCTTTCCGGAACTATTTCCACTTCCATCACTGCAGTCAACAGCATTTTTAGCCAGGGTGATGGACCTCTGACTTGCTGCGTTTTGACCCGAACTGGCACTTCTTATCAGGCAGGCACTGTCAAACATGGAAACAGCTCTGTATCTTAGATTCCTGGAATTTCTAGGGGCTATTTTTCCACAAACCTCAGTTCAATTATAGAAAAAGAAAAAAAAACTTTACCTCTCACTATCTCTCATTACACTCCCCGATGTATGTCAGGACAATAATCTGAATCCATCAAGGGAACGATTTACATCTTCCCACTGTCATGATGCACTTTAAGCCCTGAGGTTGTTAGAAAAGTGTGAGTTTTAAAGAGTGGCAAATGTTTTCACAGGGTTAGGAGCCACTGAATTAAGAGTTTAAAATGCTTAAAGTTAAGTTTGCAGCAAACCCTAAATCCACACAGCCACACAGGCTGGTTTGAGGGGCAGGAGTGATGATGGTAACATAAGGGTTATTTAGAGGTTTATGAGGCATTTGAGGGTTTTTCAGTCATTTGAATCATTTTTCCTCACTGCAGCAGGGAGATGGGGTGACGAAGTTTATAGGGAGCAGTTTGTGGCAGGATGGCAGTCAACACCATTAAGATTTACTTTTCCAAGAAGAGGCCAGAGAAGACCAGGAGCAGGAGGCGGCAGCCATCCAGTCAATGACAGCCTACATGAAATACCCACACCCATAATTCCCCCCGTCTTGAGCCGAATTACCATGGGTGGCGTTCAGAAAGTTAAGTGAGTCCTAGTTTGCCTAACTTTACTCACAATAATTCCTGTTTATCTCTCCAAGCCACTTATCTGCTGTAAACACCCGAAAGAAAGCTTTTCATCATGGCCCACTAGTAATCTCAGCAGCTTCAGCTACTGGTTTAGTGTAGCTGAAGCTGCCTGATTTATGCTTCATTTGCACTGGTATGTCTGCTTTTTTTTTTAAATAATAATAATAATAATAATAATAATTAGAGGCATTTCCAAATTTATTTATGCTGAGTAACACTTTCAACACGTAGAAATATGACACTAACAGATGAATGAGTGGATTTTGTCTGAATCTTATATATCTTGATCTAAAGGTCACAAAGCCACATCTGAGTCCTCTTCTGTCATGACCATAACCGCGCACACACACACACACACACACACACACACATGAAAATGTATTTAAAATGCACGTTTTGTCACAGCAAAGACGGAAAATGACAGGTTAAAGCAGCTACAGAGCAGTTAATGATTTCTGTACGCGGGTCTTCATTTCCTTCCAATCAGTGTTTCTTGTGCTGATTGGGTGACGTGAAGATGTAAATGAGGACATAGTCATTTGCATTACTGTCTATGTTTTGTGAGATTTCATCTGGAAGGAAACCTCTCAACATACCTGGTCTTGGATTTGAAGGCAATAAGTGACTTGGTCCGATTTGTCTGAGTTGGAAAACTTTGCCCACTTCGTCGCATTTGTTTGCGCTGCCGAGTCCTGATGCACAGCAACATGCCAGGAGGAAAACACAGCGGACCCACAGCGCATCCATTTGTATAAAATCCTGGGTGAATGATCACAGGAAATTTAAAAAAATAATAATTTAAAAAATAAATACATAAATACTTAAAAAAGTATTTTTGGAAGTTGATATTTCTCTTCAAGCTAGAGCGCGTCGGTTATCAGGTGAGTCCACATCTCAGGGTTGAGCGTGGGCACGTGTCGGGTTTGTTTCCGTCGGGTAAACGCTGCGGATTACCCTTTAAATCCACACGCAGAGACAAAGTTACAGCCGTGTGACTTGACGCTTTCAAAGAGGCATGTTGGCCAAGTTGGCTGGACCGAGAGCAGAGGCGGTACCATAATGTTACCTGCACCCAGCGGTTGAATCCGCGTCACAAGCGCTACCAGGCAGCGCCATCTAGTGGGCAGAGCTCAGCATTGATCCGTCTTTAAAGCCTTCTCCTCTCCAAAACTTGGAAGGATGTCAAACTAATTTTAATATTTTAGGATTAAAATTAGATGAACTATAGATTTTCAGACTTTTTATTTATTACGTCCTCAATGAAGTCAGAATGGCTCCTATTCTGTAGGACATGAGCTTCTTTACAATCGGCAGGCTCGATAAACTAAAAAAGTACGAAGTTGTGGTTTTAATGACGCGTACGCGTGTGGTTTAATTGTGAAAAGATAAATATTTAAAAGCCCGTTTGTGTGCTGAGTTTAATGTAAACTGGTGTGCCTGTCCCCCATTCATTTACTTCATTCATTCACAATTTTGCATGATGTTTAGGATTTGTTTCAACTTCATGAGATTATAATCTATGGCGTCTAACTTTAAGCCCAGGTATGCAGTGTTTCAAAAAGAAAAAGAAAAAAGAAAAAAAAAAAGCAGTTGATCGCCATGGTACCTTGTGCTGCAGAGCTAACCCTAGTACAGATTATCAGTGTGTCAGTGTCAGTGCGCCCCAGGGTAGCTGTGGCTACAATGTAGCTTGCCATCACCAGTGTGTGAATGGGTGGATGACTGGATATGTAAAGCGCTTTGGGGTCCTTAGGGACTAGAAAAGCGCTATATAAATACAGGCCATTTACCAGGCCAGATTATGTTTAAAGTATGAAATTCCCACCAGTTGCCTAAAAAAAAAAAAAGGCCCTCAGTGTGCTCAAGTCTTTGCATTTCTGCATTACTGAACGTCATTACTAAAGCCTGATTCTTAGACCTGAGACTAAAATGTGCTTGTAAACGTTTATATCAGAGCAGTCCAATTCAGGCTTTATATTCAAGCCTTTCACCCCCTTAAACACCAACAGGGCTGCAAACAGAACATGTATGGTAATCCACCAGATTCTCCAGTTTCTGAATGAGATACTCTTTACCTACAGTCAGCATTTATCTTGCAGGCTTTCCTTTGTGAGTTTAAATAGGTTGAACCATTTTCCCCCAGAGCAGACCTTTTTCCAAACTGAGCAAAGCACACACACACACACACACACACACACACACACACACACACACACGAGGTTGCTTCCCCCCCTGTCCACTGCTCCCGTAATACTTTGCACTGTGTAATCAGTGTCAACTTATCCATGTTTGTGATTGGTCAGAAGTCACCAATGTCCCCTCTTTCATATGAACTCGCTCAGATGCAGATTGAGAAACCCCATGTTGATTTATCTAGTGAATGGCCACCTTCATGTGACTGTGCCTGCACTATAAATGCAGGTCTTTAGTTTTGTGTGCACAGGGAGAGCCTTAATATGTAAAATTCAAACATGTCCGTTTTCAACTACAGAGCACAGCCACTTGTAACAAAGGTTTCTGGCTTGCAGAGGACTTTTTGATCACATGCTACAGCAACACGAGTAATGCCAAAAGGTAGTCCAAAGACTACGATAAGGTTTTGAAAGCCACGAAGTGACAAAATGTGACATGTCACGATTTAAAGCTCCAAAATAGTTACAAGTCTAGCCAAAATCCATCAACTTTGCAGTGTTTAAACCTTTAACTGCCAACTCAGAGATTAGCACAGAGTCAGAGGAATGTGCAATAGAAATTTAATCTTTCAAGAAGTGTTACAATAACCACCTGAAAATTTTAAAGCTAACACTGTTAACAAATTGATGAAAAACCAACATATCCAGTTAAGATTCAGGTCCGTTCCATTTCCTCGTTTCCACACAGGCCGGGACAAGTGCAATACCTGGAGGAACACAGCATTGCTACCGATCCCCACCTACACAGAAAGGGATGTCTTAGAGTCTCCGATCACATGCAATAAAACCTAAAGAACCTCTGATGAAGTCTGCCAGTCCCACTTAGCAGAATATAGCTCATCAACTCAGTCAGTTTTGCATGGATTTGCACAGCAAACACCATTAAAGCTGAATGCAAACCAGCAAAACTGACCATGCGACGATCAACAGAAATCCACCTTCGGCCATTCCACAGAAAGATGCAGTTAGAAGTACTTCAAGTGCTTACATTGCAGTAGATTGTGCAAAACACTACCTGCACTATAAGCACTTTATTACTGCTGAAACTGAGTTCATTGGACGATTACTGGCAGACACTCCCATTTGGTGTTTTGTTTGTTTTTTAAACTGTCATAGTTAAATTTAATCAGGCTGATGTGACACCAAAATTTTAAACAAAAGCAAATCTAAACAGGTGGAGAGCAAGCAGGCCACCATCAGTTTTGCATAGATTTGCACAACTCATATATTCTTGTAGTGCAACTATGCAAAACTAGCAGAGAACTGCGAGATATTTGAGCCCAATTAGAAGTTCAAAAAAGAAAAAAAAAAAAAAAATTGTCTGGTGGCGCTTATCACAGCCCCTTATGCCAGAAGGAGCACTTAGGGCAGTAGGTGCTAGTCTATTTCACTATCTGCACTAGATGCACCTTAGCACAAAGACAGTACTTCAAAGGAAAAAAAAAAGAGACATGAAACATCAGAAAACTGTGCACATCAGTGTCAGGGTATTGCTGTAAGTGCCTCCACTGCAGTAGGTATTCCATAGTACTACCTGCACTGTAAGCACTTTGGCAATACACAGACCATTACAGCATCACATGGAAGGCCAGCCATGCTGCTCCACGAGGCAACTTTGATTAGGGGGAGTCCTGCACCTCCGGGGAAGGTCGGTTAATCTGAAAACATAAGAAAGCGCATTAGGGGAAATCAACGCATTGCAACAAGTTCCACGTGTAAGTGACTTTTACTTAATTAACGACAATTCGGTCTTCCAGACATCGAAATAGCGCATCAGCGCCCCTGTTTAACAGTTCTTGCACGAGATTTTTGTTGTGGCACGAGGAGCTGGGACTTATTAGAGCAGCACGAGGTCAGCGAAAACATGAATGAGCAGCACAACCTGCGGCCCGCGTTCGCTGCGACACGGGAGCGCCTGCGCATCGAGCACTGTTGTTCACCCCTCCCCCACCTTCTTTAACATGGCGCCTCGAAGTGCGCCAATCTTAGCATAAACGACTCGAAAAACAAGCACGCAAAAGGCAAATGTCGTAGCACACATTAGAAGAGGTAGCAGTGTGTTGCTTTTTTCCACGTGGAGAAAGCCACGGCTCGCGATTTCGGACGTCCTAGAAAACAAGGCTATCGTCCGTGTTAGGAGCCGAGGCTAGCAGCAGGCAGCAGCCGTTTGAGCAGGTAGCTTAGCTGCTGCGAGCTGGTGTTAGCTTCCCGAAAACATGGGGGGGCAAAACCACGCTACGTTTTTATAACTGCCCTCACACCAAGGGCTAGCGTAACGGTGCAGGTGCATTCGTGGGGGTTCCAGTAAAACTAGTTTGCTTTTAATTGGCTTGTTTTTCTCCTGAAGTCAGTTTCGAAAGCTAATAAAACTGAAATTGAGTTTAAGGACGCTGGTTAGCCATTAGCTAACAACAAATGAGCACACGCTCAAGTAAAAGAAATTGCACCTATGGCACATCTGCCCCTCTGAATTCCGCAATTTTACCCCCATATCTTTCTCAATAAACCCGCCCTGATAGTGTTATGTTTGGAGCTTAACCCTTACACAACTCTTACATTAGTGGGGCTAGGCTAGCCAAGCTAAAACGCGCGGCCTAGAACTGCCCCATGTGCTGCTGCTTTGTTCTGGGGGGCACTTTAACTCACACACCACTGCACTCGAGAGCGAGCAGCCAATTGTCCAGATTTAAAAACTAACTTTTCACACGTTGAATCAGTGTGTCGATATAAACTCATCGTTTATTAACAGGAGACCTGGTATTTTTCCCCAACTAGTTGCTAAAACGCAGCGGGGAGAGCTCCGTACAGCTTTTCAAATCTCCCTCATTCCCTCAATGGTGGAGCCGAGGATGCCATGCGCCTCACGTTACACTGTTTTCATGGCCAATATTTTCATTTACGCGTTAATGTTTGGATCTCGCCGCCAGCACGATAACAAAAGACGCGTAAAAATATGCGTAATGCGCACAGCTTGGAGTTTCATTTACCAAAATCGAGATTTAAAAAAAATAACCCTAAATCCGACTTCCTTGCCGATAAACATGCGCTCGGTAGACACTCACCAGCCGAAATCCACCATCTTCGCTCACTTGCTTGGGCTGCCGTGTAGTCTCTCACCGACAAAAGAGACGAATAAATACACAACTATCCCGCAAACTTTTCAAACGGCGGACACAACGAGACGTGAAGTGAAATCCGAGCCGATTGCGGGTCAATTTATAGCCCAGTTACACTGCTTAAAAATGATAGCGAGCTTAGGAAAGTGGCGCGAAGACGACCCGTTGGTAACCATGTGGGTGAATGAAGGGCGTCTCCCACTGAACGTAAATATCTAGCTACAACCCCCAACTCCCCTATTAGCATACATAAACTACGGTACTTCCGACCCATATCTCCAACCAAACAGCCTCCACCTCTCCAGAGGAAGAAGAGGGAAACAGTCGGCGATCACAGCGGCTTTCAGCACCTATTTATTGAAAATTAAATGCACGCATAGCGGAAAAACAGCTTCTTTGTGGACGTTCGAGTTTCACATTTATAACCAAAACACCTATAATCTTCCACACTGGACTCATTTGAGCAAAGATAACGGAGCTGGATAGCAAAAGTAATTCGTGCTGATTGAATTTAGTCACGTGCAAAAAACAGCAGAAAAACAAAACTAATTAACCTGTTGCTGATTCACAACTCATTAAGATTAGCCTGCAGGTTATTATTTTTAACATACACCGACTTTCAGCCACATGTGTAACAAAAAATTATTCTATCACTACCACTAATACATACATTTTTTTTTACTATTTTCCGAATAAAATCGAAAATATGTTTACAAAGCTTACAGATTTGCTGATAATTAATTAACTTGGCAAGTTATAATTCTTTATATATTTTCAGTAATTTGGCCAGTATCCAATGTAAACTAACAACAACAAACAACCAACAAAAATATATAAACAAAGTCATCATAAAAGCTAAAAGTTATTTTTCACTCCAACAATAGGAAGAAATATTTATTTATTGCTTGTTTTTTATGTAAGTAATTTATTTATGTAATTAAAATGTTTAAATAACAGAACATAAAACATTATTGAAATAATCAGAAAAGGCTTGTACATTTATTTAAGTTGGGTTAGAAAAGGAAAAAAATAGTTTTTATGTGTTGGAAATTGTAAACACAGTTTTTAACAAGTAAAATAAGCTTTTGATGCAGTTATTGGTTAATCAGACTGCAAGTTAGACATAAGATGAAAGCTGTGTGAAGTTTGCATATCTAACTAAGACAGTGTGGCTGTTTGACAGCTGACTCTGTGACTGTCACAGCAGGAGATGCACAGGTGTAAAGCAGGAATGAAGTTAAGAACTTTTGCATTTGAATGGAGCACAGCCTTTGTTAATGTTATCAGCAGCACCTGTGCTTCTCTAGAATAAATATCTGCTGTGGAAAAAACAAAAAGACCCACTGATGTTTGTGTTCCTTTTCTATTCTATTATAGTTCAAAGCAAAATTTTAGCTACTTTAAAAAAAAATGAAGTTGCAAAGATTCATAAAATTTTATTGCTCATAGAGAGCTCGGAATATGTTGCACCCAGGCCTCGCTTTCTTCTCAGATTTCAAAGATAATTAAGAGACTTTACAGCCAAAGGCACCAAACCACATCAGGAAAGTCTGGTGCTACATAAAAAAATATATACAGAAATAAAAAATAAGAATGATTCATGGCCTTTACTCGGCATGTTTTCTGCAGGCAGTTTAAAGCTTTCTAAGGACTTTAACAGCTGTTTCGTTTAAATTTGTGAATTTATAGAATTGCTCAAACGCTTTCTGTATAGCCTGTGCACCAGAGAAATTTATGTGAAGTGGATGAGCTTCCAAAACCTGATGTTTTGTCATTTTAATTGATTAAATTTGTACATGCATGAAACTAAATCTTAAATATAATTGTACCTTTTATTTGATGGTGGTAATTTTCTTTTGACTCGAGAGGAATTTTCAACTGAAACTCTAAAGCTACTACTGCAGAAAAAGCTGTTTTTTAACTCCACATAAGCTATTTTTAATTTTAAAAAAATATATAAAACAAAGTGCAAACTATCTTGTCACCTTTCAAATTTAAATAATTTATTAGCAGTCCAAGAGGTAAGCTAATCCATCGCTGTGTTTACTGGTATATTTACTGAAACAGTAAACCTTTTCACACCTTCTTCTACCGCTGCAGCTTTAACATTCAAATGAGGCTTTTGTTCATAAAGTAAACATGCAAATGCAGTTAAATAAATGACAAAGAACTCCTTATACAAAGAAGCTCAATCAACATAGAAACAAGTGACAAAGCCAGTCAGCTTTGAAAACTTTCAAATTTGACACTCCTTTTGGCTCATTAGCCTCACTGGGACTAAAGAAAATTATAAAGTTTGAAGCAAATTAAAATGATTTTCACCTTTCAGAGCAAAGTGCTAAAGATTTATCGCAGCTCATTGTCACTTTGTTTCTTACTATTCTTTTCTTTTTAAGTGCTTGAAGGCACATGTGCTTGTGCTTGAAGGGTGTATATTCTGCTGCTGCAGCATGGGGGTTTTTTTCCCCAGCATTTCTTCAAAAAACCTTTTGAACTGCACACATGCATGTGAGCGCAGTACAGTATAAAAGCTGGCCAGCAGAGGGAACTAGCAAATTAAAAACTGTACCATAATGACATGATTTGCTGCTTAACTGTAAGAGGAAACTGTAACCACTTCCTATCCCTGGAGTTTCTCTTCATTTTGCATCCCAAAGTAAACGAATGAATTCATGCCCACCGGATTATTATAACTTGAAAATTCCAGCTATTCACTATGAAGCTCGAGCCTTTGAGCTGTACTGGAGAAGAAAAAATGGAAGTTGTGCATGTTTTAGTCCAGTTTTTCTGGCGGTGTGTTTGTGTATTACATTAGAGCTTTAATTCTCTCTGTAAACTGGAAACATTTGAAACCAGAATAGCTGCTCCTCTCCACCTCTCTGAGCACATGGTGGGACACACTGTGGGAGTGCGATCGCTCAGTCATGACCCCCAACCCCCCACACAAAGCCAGTTCCTCTGCATATGGAAGTGAGGTGGGGGGTGGGTGGACACAAGGAGGTTGTAGACCTCACATCGTCCCATGGGGTCAGATAAAAGCTTACGACTCTCCTTAAACGACCCACCCCCACCACCACCCCTGCTCCTAGCTCTGCACTCTTTGCACAAATAATAGTTAAAGATTTATTAAGGCATCAGCACACTCTTCATATCACACATCATCATTTTTTGATAGAGGCATAGGAAAAATGCTTTAAGCATTAAGGAATGGGGCTGTGTTGGTGTAATATAAATTCTTAGAGGAGACCTCACCGATAGAAACTTACAGCAGCACGCTGCCACCACTTGTCCTACTAAAGCCTGTATCGAGATCCAAACATCCCCTCTGATGCATGGACACTTTAAGGCCTCTTCTTTCCAAAATGGCCTACCAGAGCCAAAGCCCCGCCCACAACAGGGGCCATAAGCACAGGGGCCTCTGTTTTTTGTTCTTCCCATAGAAGCCTGACCACCATTGTCTCGGCGTGACCCTGAGGTCAGCTGAACTCACCTCGCCCAACCACGGCCCATTCAGCTGCGGAGCTTCACACAGGACAAAAACATCTCTAAAAAGCGAGCATCGCTTCATGCGAGGAGGGGGGTGGCCGTGAAGGGACACATGGACAGACGACGGCCACGCTCTGCAGTGTGTCAGATTCACAAGCTGAGTCGTGTTATTTCTGTTTTTAAGTCTCCGGATCAGGTAGTTCAAGCCGAGGTATGAATCAGATGCAATCCAGTGCAGCGTGGCTTTTAACGTTATAGTCCGGCAGATAGTCAGGATGATATCCCCATCAAGTACGAGTGGTTTAGACCACGCTGAGTCTATTAAAGAAGTCAATTATAGAAAGTTATAATGAAGTTATATTTGACACGTTTTCTATTAATTCACCCTCTGATAGTTTAAATACACACCTGCCGGAGGGGAAATTAAATTTTGCTGCAGGAAAAGAATGAGGCCGTCCACGCCTGTCATCTGCAGGCCTTCATTAAAGTGTGTGTATCGAGCCAAATATAAGTGGTGCAGTAAGGAGGTTTCTTTTGACAAAATACTCCATATTTTATCAAAAAACCCACATTATATGAAAAGCATGATATGTATTTATTTATTTGTTAGTTTTTTTACTGAAGAGAAAAGCAGATGGTGAATGTTGATACTCACGCTGGTATTGGTATTAGATTGATACTCGTGGATGAAGATCAATGCTTTGTTTCTGTCCTCTAAGTTCAGCATGTAGCCTGGCACATTTAGATTCCACGTCTTAAAAAAAGCATTTCAAAATATATGTAAGGCTGAAAGGTGTGATGGCACGCAGCTCTCCCTGCATAAGCTGCATCAGTATCAGAAATGCCAGCCCTGTATTGACTTGGTATCAGATTGATACTAAAATCTGCAGTACTGCACAGCGCTGATAGACAACCTGTTTAATTTTAGCTCGAGCCTCTAGCATGGCATCGTGCTTTCAGAGACAACGGTGTCCCTGGTGGAGGGGAAGCTCATGGAAGTTGGCAGGTTGAAAATGTGCAGCATGATGTGGCTGAAGGAGCATGAAACATGTTCACAAATCAATGCTTCGCACGGCGCCACGGGAGAGACGAGAGTCACAATTGAATGTTGAGTGTTTTTTTTTTAATAAATACGTTTTCTTTTTGTTACAGATCATTTCGTAGCTCGGGGATATTACGCAAAACTGCCGACCTGTTATTAACCCTGAGGGGAAACTGGTAGAGAGTAAGTGTTAGGTGCTTGTTTTCCCATTTGGCTTTAACATTTAGCCTCTTTTTATTTTTTCTTTTGAGCCCTACTCATACCATTAAAGTTTCTAAGTGTTAATTCTACAGCCATCTCTTCAGTTTCCAGTACACTACATCTAACTCTAGTTTCTATGTCATTTTTGTCTATTCAACCTTAAAACATGTTTTTTTTTTGTTTTCTTTTTAAATGATGGTGTTTACCCCAGAGTGAAAGTCAGTTTCCCAGGAGCACCATTAGAGGTTTAATGATGAGAAAAGCTCAGAGCCTAATTTCATTCATCCAGCACCTCCCCCTGAAAGCCACTCAGAGAGCAGCTTAAGGTTAAACTTAACTTTACCAAAGCAACTGTTTGCATCAAAGCATGATGTAGGGCAAAGACAGCTGTCTGCTAATCTAAGGGTGGCTTGATCAGCTTGCATGTCCATCAGCGTGAGTGTGTCTGATAAATAAAGAGCGGTAAGTGTTGAATTGGGTGAATTTAGTTTAGTGTAAAAGCACTGAGTGATCAATAAGACTAGAAAAGCTCTGTTAAGGCGATGGAGTCTATAAAAGTACTTGAAGTATAACTGAGTGGTTATATTTAACAGATCGGAGTGCTGTGGTACTCACTGTGTAATATTAGTATCTAACCACATACATCACCCTTTTGTTCATTTACAACACTTCACCTTTGGGAAACTGAAGACACTTACTTTATTTTACGGTGTCCTAAAAGTAAGTTAAACACCTTTTCCCTTTAAACTGATGTTCACACGTGATTGAATCCTTAAGTAGAAACAGATCACAAAGACTGGGTGAGGAGTCCCTTGAAACACTTTCATTTTAATAAAATCCACAAAATCATGACTTTCATTTCGGTTCAAACAAAGTCAACACATTTCGGCTGTGAAAAACCTCAAAGTGCTCATGAATTTAATGCTCTGCAGTGCAGTTTTTAAGCTTTTTCCCCACTTTTCCTTAAACCAATTCATCAATAAATTAATATTAAATACACATTTACTGTACATCTAAAGCTGCCACGTGTTGGTGGCAGTAATAAAGAATTTCTTATAAATACATCCCTCCCCCATTTCCAAGCATATCTGACAAAAAACAAACTGGATACAACTACCAATGATATGTTAAGACCCCAGTTTGCTGTCTGATTGTCTTGTCACTTCACTGAGGAGCTCTCGCTCTTTATCTGTATTTTTTTTTTGGACCGCGCACAGCTCTCAGATTGTCCTCAGTAACTGAGATTCATGATTACCTTCATATCAGCAGAGAAGTGTCATCAGAGCAGCAAGCATTAGACTTTGTAGTAGATGTTGGTGGGACTCTGGGGCATTATCTCCTGAACTATGTACACAGGGGGCCCGTAGTCACTGCTCACGCGCTCAAAGTGACGGCAGATCATGCTGTCGGAAGCCCGCAGAGGAAAGACGACGTCGCTGCGGTCCGAGCCGTTGTTGTCGCTGCTGATGCTGTCCCGTTTCGGCACGCCCAAAGTGTTGAGGGACACGGAGGCGGACTGCTGCCCATCCGGGACGCAGCGACGGTGACGGTGCCTCCACAACACAGCCAACAGAACTATGATGACCACGAGCAGGACCACACAGCCAGAGACAACCCACGTGAAGAGTCCTGTCTCCGAGCCCACATCTGTCAGAAGATAGAAAAAGAAAATTTAAGGGGCAAGAGACACAAAGGTTTAAAAACAACTTCACTCACTTAATGCCCCGGCACGGCCTGATCAGCACATGTTAGCGTGAAAAATCTCAGCTGAAGCTGGACACAAGAGAATATGCTTCATCTTAAGTGTCACCCTGTTAGAAAACACAGGCCCTTTTTTTGGCACACGACAGACTCATGATCACTTGAGGTTTGAGTGCAAACTGGAGGACTTAGTGAAATGTCATTGTGATGAACAGTTTGCAGCATTGTTTTATTCTTCTGTCCGTCTGCGGAGTCACACGATGATCACGAAGTGGGTCAGAGCAGAATAAAAAGGCTGCTCAGACAATTTCAAATCCAGTCTTCTAAGGGTTGATGAGTTTGGTTTCTACCGATCGTTGTTAGCGACAACAAATTACACAAATCAACTCAAATATTTCAATCAAGAGCCAATATGTAGTTTAAATGTTGCCTTCATTTTGCTTTTTTATGAGCTAAAAAGACTATAATCACTTTCTAATGTTGTTTTATTGTTAGTTATTTACTACTGAGAGCATAAAAATGTATTCAATAAACTGCAATTTGTTCAGCAGTGTTGCTGAAGCTGCCCTATAGAAGAGTTTTGTCCCATGAGGGCTGAAGCGAACACAAGAGTCCTGGGGTAGAAATTGCAAACAGACTTAATGGTTAATTAAAAATCTGTGAACATTATTGGGTTCTTTTGATATGTGTGGGAAACTCAACATTAATGCACAAAAGGAAGGTAACTGAAAGGGCAGGTAAAGGTAAGGCTTGCACAGTCTGCTCCTGTGTGCTAGAAATGCCCATGATACTGCTGTACATGATTCCCCAGGCTGTATTTTTGGTTTGTCTTCATACCAGCTTTACTTTTTATATCCTCTTCTTTCGTGGAGGCGTCCTTGGCCTTGGACTTTGGTCGTGTAGGTGGGAATCTGGTGGGGGACTCCTGAAGTGTTGAAGGTGGATCTGAAGAGTCTGGAATAAAAACCACACAGACTGATATAAGCTGCAAACCTCACACCTTCCAGGTTACTGTAATGAGATTTATTGGTTCATTCAGAATCTAAATAAAGAGCTAATTTCTTTCTATTTGTTTATTGATTTCGGATCAACAGTCATTCAGATAAAAATGAATCACAAGACAAAGAGCGAAACTTGTTTTTTTCTCAACGCAGCCAGACCACAGAAAGCTGGGTTTTGTGTCACAGCTGCGATTTTCTTTTTTTTTTTTTCTTGACAGGAAAAGCATCACTAACATGTTCTCCTTTTTTCCCCACCCACTCACACATAACATATACATATGAGTGACAAATTAAAGGAAGAAAAACAGCCTAAAGTGTCTTACTAAGATGTTGCCGGAAAAACTTTAATGCTCTGGCTTTTCTGTGAAACTCTGCTGGAGGATTTTTCAAAATCTCTTTTTTTGGAGGATAAAGGTGCTGAGGGAGACCCAAACCACAGTAGCAACGCTAAAGAGCCTCTAGATCAATACACTGTAAGGGTCGGTGGTACAGGTTTGCCCTTAATTTATCAGATGGAGCCATTTAAAAAAAATTCCCTCTGGTTTTTCCAGGGGGACTTTTCTGGAAAAAGACCAGCTGTTTCACAGTTACGGATTTTCCTCTGTGGTTCATTAGAAATGTGATCAAGTCTGAGAATATAGAATTAAATGAGAACAATTAAGTAATCAAAAGAAACCCCGTCTTGTTTTTAATTGGTTATATTTCCCTTTATGATACTCTCTGTCAGTGAGAAGTAACTAAATCCATTCAATCAAGTACTTAAATATACTTTTGAGAAGTTTCAGCCACTTATGTATTGGGGCCGCCATCCTTACAAGTTACTATTAGGATGTTGGCTCCACGCTCTTCCACTTATCTAAGTCAGGGTCGCTGGAGCCAATCCCAGCTGTTAAGAGTTGCGAGAGGCAACAAGAGTCAGCGGATCTGAACCTACACCTTTCTTTCCTCTAAAAAACAAAGCACTGTTAAAAAGTCCTACTTCTGCTTTAAACTTCAATCAGGGTTCCTCCTGATTTACTCTTCATTACTCAGAGAATTAAAACGCTTCAGTGTCGTCCCAGGAAACCATAACAATGAGATCTTTCTATCTTAGTTTTCTCATAAACTCCCCATGAATGATCGCCATAGTCACCTGGTTTTGTCTTTAAGCCTACCCAGAACCAACTCTTTGTGAAAGGAAAGGAGATAACGCCATCACACAGCTCAGTTTGCATTGGTTACATCTTACATTAAATTACACTTTTAGCATTAATTAAATAAACTTCAGAGATGCTGAAGTCATTAATGGACTGGAGATAAAGTGGATCATCTACTAAAGAGGAAGAAAAAAACAGAAGTAGATATCAGGCTGAGCAATACTTAATAAATCCATTTCATTTCACCATTGGTAGTAATGATAGGCAACCTTGAATGTGGACTGATTACAAAGCACACATTTTTCTTTGTTACCCATCACATTATTCAGGGCTCCGTGTTTAGAGCAAACCTTTCATCATGGTCAATAGCAACAAGGATTTGTCTACTTTTTCTTCTTAAATTAGTGTGAAAAAGGTTTATAAAGGACTCTTTCTTAATATCTGCATTGCTTTATTAGTAATTTATATTATTAAAAAGGAACTAAACTAGTCTTTCACCAATAACCTCTCAGGTTTCTCAGCCTTCAAAAAGTGTAGTTCTTAATTTTAAATTTGGCAATTTATGGGATAATGTGCAAGCCTTCAAATGAACTGGGTTTAACAACAAACATAAAAGTATGGAAGCTTGTTTCTGCCACTGGGGGAAAAAACATTTGGAAAAAAAAGAACATCCTAAAGTCAAACATTTTAGTTCTCATCTCAAAAGTTTAACTCTGTAACTTGAAATTTCAAGGTTTTTCTCAGATGTTTGAGTTGGTACGTTGAAGTTTTTTAAAAGTTTATTTTTTATTAAGTGGCAGAAAGAAGCTTCCACATACCAACATTAAAAAGTGACAGTTTAACGTCTAAATACAGGAAAGAAATATTGTGATCTTTGCTCAAACATAAAAATAAATACTAAAGTAAAAATGAAATGTTATACCTTAACTGGGACTACATGCACATTTGAGTGTTAGTTAGCTTAGTTTGAACAGCAGTCATTAAAGCTTCACTTCAGTGTCTCATTCATTCATCACTGATGTTCAAATTTCCTGCCAGCACATTTACTGTGAACGTAAAAAATATGACAACACGATTAAACGTTCAATTTAAAAAGCACAACGTATAACTCAAAATCTGACGCTTCCAACGACTCGTCGTGACTTTTAATATATGCAGAAATTAAAACTCGATAACACCTAAAAATTGAACTTATTAATATTTGCTGTCGCTGTAAAAAAAAGATGTGTTTACACCAGTAAACACAGCGGGAGAACAGCCCCATATTTCCAGTTATGATCAGTGGAGAAATGCACGAAATGCTGATTTTTTTTATTTTTTTTTCATCTCCAACTCAAACTCCTGAATTATTTATGTAGCTACCACTTCACATTTCAGAGGTCAAAAAAATAATATTTATTTTTTAGGCCTTTCATTTATTTAGCTTTTAAAGTTTCTGGAAAAACACACAGAAACAGCAGCTGTCATGTTTCTGTGATTATGTGGAGTTAAAGAAGCAAACAAGCACACTATAAACACTAGTTTCTTCATTTAAAGAGTATGGCTTGAAAATTGATAAATAGTGTGTCGACAGGTAGCGTACACCTGTGTGCCTGTTGTGTTTTAAAGAATGATGCATCCTCAAATTAAACCAGTTATTGTGATGTTAATATGACAAAAAATAAATAAAATAAATACCACGGCAGTCTCAAATGATCACATGCATGATAATACCGGCTTTAAGCTGCTAGTGCTGGCTTAAATTAAGGATTTGGAATAATTCATGACAGAAATCTCTCTTCAAGAGAATTGATGGATGATCACAGGATTATGTGACCACTCAGTAATTCAAGTCTGGAGATGATATTATTGCTTTAAATATGACCTGAAATAAACAGCTGGTTCTATCTGTCAGATAACTACATGTGTATGTATATGTTTGTGTGTGTGTTTATGTCATCCACACATGCGCCGGCACAGACACGTGAAAGCAAAGCTCTTACTCTGGCCGACTCTCAGCACCAGCTTCATGGATTTGGTCCTGCACACCCCTCCATTAGTGTTATCCAGACCCTGCAGGAAGCCCGTGGAGGTGGCTGATAAACACAGGGAGGAGGCAAAAATTAAACACTTTTTTCTTCCCTTCCCCAAGTTTCGTGTAAATAATAAACGATTATCAGGGAATGCATAATTACGCGACGACTCCTTTGCAGACAAGTTGGGTCAGTTGCCAAAAGTTGCATCACTTGTGCAACAAAATGCCACACATAGCACAAGCTGTGATGTTATAAACAGCAGATAATCACACATGTGAAAACACCACAGAAGCTACAGAAAATCCTGTGAGGGCTGAACCAAAAAGATACTTATTTTTTTTTAGTGTATATTCTTTAAAACAAAAAAAACTAAAGAAAAGCTGAATTGCTCCCAAAATACTTAACCTCCAAAACATCTTGAAGAAAACCTGAACAGAGTGAGAGGATTTGTTGCAGCATGGTTGCATTAGCTGCAGTTAGGTGAAGCCAGCAAACTGGAAATTGAGTGTGATGTTGCTGAATGTACTAACCAGTGAACTGACTAAGCATTGCATCTCAAGATGCAACACGGGAAATGAGACGAATGGAGAATATTTTAGCAGCTATCCTTTTGAATCAATAACCAACACTCGCATGAGACACACACACACACACACCAGGAACTCTCACTCACCCCTGTCATTCACACACATACTTGTTAGCAGCATTTAGGTCAGATAACAACATCTCGCAGGCTACAAGCCACGTTGCCATGTAAGCTCCCATCAAATCTGCCTGATGCTGTAAAAGCCTTCTGTGATTTGGGGCATGTAAGCCCTTGGAATCACACAGGCCTGCCAGAGCGAAGTGTGCTGTCAGAGCGTGGTGAGGTGGGTGAGGCTACATGGTCAGACTTGCTCTCTATCTCATGCATCACTTGCCTCTTAAGATGCTGGTTTAACCGACGGCAGTCCAATAACGAGGCCACGTTTTTTTGTGTGTGTGCGGGGTTTTTTTTTTTACTTTGATTCTCACGCAAACTGACAAATTGAGAGGGAGCCAAGGATGATGGTGTCCTCTTTACCAAGAAAGAGAGAAGGAGAGAGGGCAGGGGAAGGAAAAAGGAATCAGCTTCTAGCCTGGATTTAAAGGCTGTTCCACCTGTAGGAACCAGCTGCTTTTCCCCATCATACTGAGTTTAATTAGAACGTGTGCCACACGTTTGGCAGCCATGGCTTCAGATACAAAAAAAACACTCACAGGTTATGTAATAGTCCTTCCCCCTGAGGAACTCCAGACCCCACAAGTTGGGGCTGAATTCCTGAAACTTGAACGTGAACTTTACATCACGGTTTGGTTTGTCGCAGTTCAGCAGAGGCGTGTCAGTCTGGTCAATGGTGCAGCTCTCCAGCTGACTTCGCGAGACCAGGAAGACTCTGTAGAACTCCTCCTTTCCCCCAGAGGAAGCATCTGCCCTGGGGCACACAATGTCCATCTTGTCCCCTATCTGTGGATACAGAATGAGACCCTGACCTGGAGTAAACCTGTGATAAAAGAGAGAAACACAACACTTTAAAAAAAAAAACCAACATAAAAATCCTCTTAAACCGGCAGAGACTGGAGCATCTTCACTTTATGCAATTCTCAGCTTGAACTTGATGGATAATAAAGTGGCCACATTTTAACTTCAGTGATAAGAGCGTTTCGACAAGATCTTGCAGGTTTTCATTTGTTCACATCAGACCAGTTGCTTGATTAGACTGAGGAACAAACCAAAAACCAAACAGCGCAGTCATAAAGGAAAAAAGATTAGGTGATCAATCATGAACTGGATCAACAGAATATTAGTCTACAATAATCCCTAGAGCTATTTTTTTAAAGCTCCCCAATTCCATCGCTTCAGGGGATTTTTTTTGTGTTATGTAAATATCTGAAGAGCACATGCAGAAATGCATTGGTTTCATCACCAGCTAATAACATGGCGAAGATAAAAAGTCATTAATTAATACAAATCATTCTGTTTAGTTTCAATTGGCACAGGAGAGGAGCTGGAGCCTGGCAGTGTTCGGTGCTTCTGTGTTATCAGTTACTTCTCAGTCATTATAAATCACTTCTAGAAAATGTCACTGAGCAGATTTCTGTCAGTCCACAGCAGAAAGTTGTATTGATCGCAAAACTGATTCCTCCACTTACTTGGCATTGGAGCTGCTCCAGTGGATAGACTCCAGAGTGATGGCACGGCATGAGCAAACGATGGCCAGCAGGAACAGGGCACCGCAGCTCCATGCGCTGCTCCCCATCCCAGGAAGAAATCGGAGACAGGCTACACGGAGGCTCGGTATCATAAACCGGCTACAATTTGCTGTTCCTGCATGTCTCCGGTTGCTCCAGGTGCGCGCAAAGGACACGTTCCCGAATGAAATCCCACCAAGTTGCGAGTTTTCCTCCTGCGGCTGTTTGAAATATTCCACATTGTGCGTAATTGGCTGGAAAATTATTCGTGTGACGAGATCCGTGTATTGAGGACAGAGAGAGTGTGCAGCGTTTAAAGCCATCAGCTGACCAGTCCGCCCATACGGGCTCGTGCGTAAGAGAAAGCCGGGGCTGGTGGGCACATCGATTGGTGAATTTTTATTTATTTATTTTTTTCACATTAACATACTGTACATTGGGTTACATGCACGAGCCATAAAACAAGCGCATTTTTAAAAGCGTGTTCAACACATTTGGGGGAAATCCAAGTCTGGCTGTTTTCCAGACGATTAAATAATAATAATAAAAAATCCAGAAATTATTGCGCTTACTTTTCTCAGAAGCTAGAAGTTTCATAGTAACCACAGATGTTTATCTGTTTTTTCTTCTTCTTCTTCTCGAAAGTGGGTTTGGGAAATATTAAGGGTCTAAACCAGCTGTAAAACGGTTTGGAACTAATTTGTATATTATAAGGACGTCACCTGTAGCGTTTAGTGTGTAGCGTTAGTTTTTTTTTAGAAACATATTTGTGTCTTGTATGATTGACTATTTGTCACTATTTCAGGAGATCTACATTTAATTAAAGCTTTTTTACATTTTATTTTAATGTTTTAATTTAATTTTTTTACTCCACCTTCTGTGGCCTGCTATGTGTTTACGTCACAGGCCATGAGGAATCTGGGGTAGCATATTAATTATAATGGTAATAATAATTAGCAGATGGATACATTAATATTCTATAATAATAATAATAATAATAAACGCTGTTTAATTAATTAATTAGATTATCATACTGTTGATTGGCCAGGGGGCGTAGTTTGTGTTGATCTTGTGACATGATGTGTGCTTCCTGTCAGTCAGTCACAGAATGATTGTTGGGTTCTTAGCTTTAGAAACCTACTTATACAGACTTAATGTGTTTGTAGAGCTCCACTAGACTAAATGAGGGTCCATCACCAGCTCTCATGAGCTCCTGTCCCTTAGGAAGCCTCAGAGGACGGGAGCAGAAGATGCTTTTTTGTAGGCTTGTAAAAACTGGTGTGAATATTTGTGACACATCCTGTCACACCAATAAGCCCTAGTGCAGTTTGTCTTGTGTCCTTAGTCCTCTAGAAACAGCAGTGATAACCTGGCATTGTTTGCTATGAACACTGAGAGGAAAAAGTCCCTGGAAAGCAAAAAGAAGAAAGAAAAATCATTGGTCCGTTAAAACTCAGTGTCTGATGGTAAGTGTGTGGCGTGTTTCTTCTGTTGCATGTTATAAAATGTGTGTTTTGTGTTTGAGGCACAGGCTATGACTTCTTGTGATTATCCTAATGTTGTAACATTGTGTATGTAGACGACCGCTTTTGATCTCAGAATCTTCACAGATCTGCATCTTTTGCCACTTCTCACGGTCACATCTGCATGACAAACATATGTTTGTATTATATCTTCATGCAGCTGTGTTTCTTAGATTTATAGTGTACATATTATTTATTTGTGCAATTTGCACTACTCCATATCTATTTTTTTAACAAAAGCTTCAAAGAAAAAATGGAAGCGCTCAAATTATTTTCTTGTTGTTGGGCTGCTCGTTCGGTGCAGTCCTGGAGAAAGAAATAGAAATACACCCGGTTCTATAGAACAGTTGTTCTAGGGGAACAGTGTTGCACATCTTAATGAAAAGTTAACACACAGACGGCCACAGTGCTCTGCAGTGAGCGAGAAATGATGCAAATGAGGGAAATCCACAGAGTGGACCAAACTAATGACTGTTTTTGATGACCAAATTGTTTCAGTGATGATCTATTCTTACCTGAAATGTATTCGTTTAACCTCAGAGCTTCTCCAAGTCTGCTAAACCAGACATCGTTATTGACTTATCTAAACACACACATCAAAGAGGGTTTTGGCCTTTTGCCAAAGGAAAATTACCAGGACTGTGACATAAATATCTTCAACCTGTACTTTTTTTTACAGTGGGCTTTAATTTACTCAAGTTTAAAACAATTTATTTTGTTTAGAAAAAGGCCGAAAATACCAGGATAACGCATAAACTCCTTTTAACTGAGTTAACAGAGACGCCTTCTTATTACCATTATAATTAACCATATGTAGAGCAGAAGCTGTTCTGAGGCAGGAAAAACCCCGTTCTGTTTGTGTGTTTTACTTGTTGCCTTGCTCTGAGTTCATAGTTGAAGACATCTCTGCACTCAGAGAGACTTAGCGGTCGGTTTCATCTGACCTGTGAGTGTTTGAACCTGTGACCACGTTAAACAAAGAGGGCGGCCAGCCGGAGACCTCTCAGGCAATTAGAAGTTAGGATGAAAAGCAAAATGTGTCATTCTTAACTTGTCATCTAGTCTTTCCGTGTGTCTAACATGGCATTGCAGCATAATTGTTGATGACTGGCTGTTGATGTCCACATCTCTGCGAGCGTGTGGACTGTGGTGCGGCAGAAGTAAAACTCCGTCGGCACATTAATGGTAAAACCCTTTAGCACCAGCAGAGAAGATCTCAACCACCCCTCCTAACATCCACACACAAATCAGGGATTTTTTCTCTTTCTTTAACAAAAAAAAGTCAGTTATGCAAGTCCTACCAAGAGAATGACATTTATCCTACAATCAAGTTTCTATTCTTCTCAGTGGACTATTTGCAGAATGAACCTCAGGACAAGAAAGTACTGGTTTGAAGGATCATGAACGTTGCGGTTCAGGGGAAACACTGATGTGGTGACGAGTAGAAAGGGTAAAGGAGTGAAAGCTGTGACTCACACTATCACCTCGAATGAACCTGCTGTATCCAGGACGCGCAGACTTTAATGAGGTCAGGACATAAAGATGACCACGAACTGCTAAAACAGATGTATTTCTACAGAACCTCATGCAAATGAGTACAAGAAATCGTGCACATGGTGGATCTTCTTTAAAGTCATCTGTACGTTCTGCACTCTAATCCTCTGATTTTCAGGAGAGCCCGCGCTAATGACAAAGATTACACAGGACTTCTGTCACAGCTAGAAAGCGCCACAAGTGACGGCTGAACTGCCCGGAGATGTCTGCATCTCTGTCGGGACATGACTGGGCTGTAAGTGTTCAAAGTGCAGGCAGCATCTTTCATATTTATAATTCATTTAAGCCTCAACATGAGAAAGCAGACTCTGAAATGTTTTTTCTCTCTCTCATGTAAACATTCAATTCATACAAGTCCAACTTTTCCTTTTCCTGAAACAAATTTAAGGCACACAAGTCTCACATGCTTTGTAATTGGTTTTATTTTCTTGTCATGCAACTTAGAGTAAATACACAACACAGCTTAAGCTATTTACAGTCCGTGTTAACAAAATTTTTGGGATTTCTCAGCTGATCTGTGAAATCAACAGAAAAATAAAATTGAACCTTTAACCGTTTAGTTTGTTTGATGAGAAACTGGCTTCCTCTTTCTCTTTAACCGCTGTCATCTCTAGCAGAGCTGATTCATCTGTAATGCTCACATTTTAAAATTGTACTTTTTCCACTTTTTACTGCATCCATGCACCTGTAAATACACTGTAACAGCAAAGTAGTAAGGTGGAAATTATTCTTTTAGTTGGTAGTTTTGTGGAGAGCTCAACAGGACTCACTGGAAACATTAAGGTGTTAGGCTAAAAGTCAGAGAAGCAGAGAAGAGCACTGACTCTTTAAACTCAGATGTAACGTTGTGCCAAGGCAGAATTTAAAGAAATTGTGGGTTCCTCAAAGATTTGATGAGCCAGATGCAAAAACAGAGAATTGTGATTAGAGAATTTGGTCTTTTTCTTTCTGCACTACTTCATATGTAATACAACAGGAACTGCAGCTATTTCATATTTCCTTGCAGGTGTCGCTGCACCGCTGCACAAAATGCTCCCAACGGGCACCAAACTGACAACCCTGGAGTTATAACCATCTAGACAGCTTAAATTACAGCCAGTGACAAAGAGCATGTGCTTGACTGAACGGTTATTCCCCTGCAGCTTCGCTCTGTGCCTGCAGATGCGTCATATTCCTCAGTGTCATGATGACTCCTCTTTTTCGTCGTAGCAGTGGCCTTCAGCTTTTTTTGTCCTGTGAGATCTCCCAAAGTGAAGCTAATGCTAACATGTTAGGTGTCTGTTAATAAGAACAACCCCTATCACGATTAGCATTAACCTCAACCTGGGACCATGCTTGAAGGCTCCCGTGCTTTACTCCCATGCTTACCTCAATGTCGGCAGTGTTGAAGGTGTCCTGCAGGGGGTGACAGACAGTCTGATTAGAGAGCATTTATACACTCCAGCTGCAATGTTTCCTTCACTACAGAAGCTACAAAGCGGCACAACACTGTGACTTTGTGGAAATCTCGATTTTAGCTGCAAATTTTAAAGATTTAAGACGATCTGCTTTACGTTCTTTCTCATTCTCTCTCATAATTAAAAAATACTTCAAAATGAGGCTTTAAGGCAGAAGGACTGTGCTGATTGTTCAATTCTGATTATTCTTACTCCATTAGTTGGAAATCAAACATATAAACTGATCACTGCCCTCAACACTGAGCTCTTTTCCCCTCTTAAGTTTGACATTCAGTTAAATTGAACTAAATGTCATAAACTCATGTGTGTGACCCTCTAAATTCTTTGTCTGTACCTGAACTGGGCTTTAAAAGACCAGGTGTGGCACAGCTGGAAGTAAAGTTATGTATCTGCCGTAACTCCCCAGAGACACCGCGAGCAGCAACAGGATGTAGCAGGTGCTGTTATGTTGACTTTGGTTAAGAATCAAGATACTAATCTTGGTTAACAGGAAGCAAGTGTAAGTTTGTGTGTGTGTGTTTGTTATAGTGGTAGTTATGAAGCTACTGACCTGTCTCAGCAATGACAAAACACTTCCTCAGCAACCGGTCTCTCTCTCTCTCTCAGTTTCTCTCTTTGTCCTTCCTCGCTTAGCTCTTCGCTCTCCTCAGTTTCCTTTCCTCCCCTCTGTCTGACTCGCTTGTTTGCTCTTGTGTAAGTGTAAACCAACTAGTGGGTATTCTTGACTTTTATAGGTATGCATGACTCATGTAAAATCCCCTTTGCTATGAGTATGACT